AGTCGCTTTTCTCTTCGAATACTGGACCAATTGCTTTGAAATTTTTAGTGGTTAAAGATAAAAATTTTCTCCAGAAGGCTATTACTTTTTTTTCGCTATGACGTCATCAAAATTATGTGACTCTACGTGTCCATATATTTGAGCATAGCTCTCTTGTTCTTGTTGTTATTTGACACAGAATAACACACCTAGTGGAAATATTAAAATGCCGCTTTTCTCTTCGAATACTGGACCAATTGCTTTGAAATTTTCAGTGGTTGAAGATAAAATTTTTCCCCAGAAGGCTATTACTTTTATTCATTTTAAATATACCTGTTAGCTCTGTGAGATTTGTTTTTGTTTGCTATGACGTCATTAAACGTTCTGCGGTCATCGGACGCCATTTTGTATCCTACTGTACTGCTTCGCTTGGTGTGAATATATTTGTATACTGTGATCTGACGGTACGGTACACCGTACTGTACTGCGAACAGACGTGTCCATATATTTGGGCGTAGCTCTCTTGTTGATTCATATACACAACATTTAAAATAAAAAAGCATAGAAAATTTATATTAAATGCAGTATGTAAAATATTCATTCATATTTTAGTTACATTGAACATAATTCTGTTAGTTTTCGTGGCACTTTTGGCAACTTGTTACGGTGCACTACCGGTAGTGGCGCATCCTTTGGGAACCGCTGCATTGCACCATTTTTTTATCAATTTTATACTTTTATTTTTTGGTAATCCGCGACACGAGATAATAAGCGTAAGTGTTCCGTGGCCAAAAAAATTTGGGAAACGCTGGTTTATTGAGATAGTTTCAATGTCGTTGTTGTCACCAGTACATTGCTCATGTTATAAACGCTAAGCTGGTGTGGGACATTATAACACTATAGATTGCAATTGCAACCTACTGTATAAATTCATAAATCGGTAAATTTGTATGTATCACTATGCGCAAATAATGTATAGTGGCTCACCGCAGCTTGTAGGCTACTTAGAGTATAACAATTTATTACATCTGTTATTTTTCAACAATACCCGTGTTTAGCATCGCCCTACAGTGAAAAAACAATTGTTTATTTAAAAAAAATTCTATAATGATTGCTGTTTTAAACGCCCTCCTCGTTGTGAAAGATATATGACCTCTTAGTGTAGCGCCATGATTCCAAACAGTGACCGCCCTCATTGTCTTGATTATATAACTAAACTGGCAACGGTAACTTTGGGAAATGAACCTTTACCATTTTGCGTTGGCGCGATCTCTTTCGGCGTGAGTCGCTTGGAGGTAGGACGTGTAAATTTGTATCTTAACCAATCGAGGGTTAGTATTATTAATTAGGCATTGTTTGAATTCAATCCGATAACTATGTTTTCCTTGTTTCGTATATATATTTCGGTCCCGTAATAACACTGTATTTTACCGGGTTTCTATTTAAAAACTGTTTCACCAACTTTTGACTAAATTATTCGACAATAAATATCTTTGGGCAATCGTTTCGATCTTTGAAAGAACCGTATCGGATAGAACCGCGTCACAAGAATAAGATGCTTCTGCTATCATCTAATCGATCACAACGTATGGTGCTGTAACCGTTATACTTAGAATGCTACTTCCCATGTCTTCGTGGAAGAGATATTTTATTTTGAATGGACGTTTCCCCGAGCATCGACTTTCTTGTTTACTTCGTGATATTGGCCAATCAGCAAGATGCAAAAAGTGACGTAACAATAACAAAGCCCCGAAATTATTGCAATGGTAAAGTATAGGAAGAATTTTTCGTGGGAGGAAGGTCCATAGAGTGCCTTTCAGTACTGTACATCGGAATTTGAGAAAAACTTACTTGTCGATTCTCTCCTCTATAAATATTAGTGCTTGTCTTCTTATTGCATGAAAAAAATCATCGGCCTGAATCATATGACACACTGTACTAAATATTTAGACAAAGATTTTTTTAGTTTCAACATACAATTCCTCGCTAAAAATCTCGAATGTTTATGTGTTTTTCTTTCTGGCTACATCAGTGGTTCTCAACCTGTGGTACGCGTACCACTAGTGGTACGCGGGAGCTTTTCAAGTGGTACGCGAGCAACTTTGAATTATTGCAACAGTTAACCTTTCAGTTGGCTAAAATATGCCGGCAAAGCTTTATCTTCCTTACTGTATGTATTCGTTGAACAGTGTTTATGGATGTTTCGCCGAGCATCGGTTTCCTTGTTTATTTCCGTAACCATAACCAATCAGCAAAGAGTCAATAATGACGTAACACGTAAAAATTGTAATTACTGCACCCGGCCCCTCAAACAGATATTCAAGCATGGTTGCAAACATTTCATCGTTTTTATAGTTTTGAGTGATATTTGTCAGTTTTCAGTAGTGTTTCAAGAAAATATTTGTGAATTGAATAACTTAATTGTTATTATGTCTTCCGCGGAGTTTTACTCTAGTTGCAGTAATTAAAAACGAATCTCGCAAATGCTGCGATGGACAAGGCTAAACTTAGCTATATCAGTACCTGCAAACGACACATGGTTGGTTAATTTTAATAAAAATGATGGTTTCGGACACGTAAACCAGTTTATAAGCGCCAGCACATCAAAACACTCTCAGAATAAGCACAAATTTTACAATAGTCAATTATAGGGATGATTTTCCGGGACCAATAGTCGGGGAAACGTTCATATCGCTGGTGCGCCACCAGTCTTTGTCTTCAGAGATCGCCCTCGCCCGCTTTCCCATTAAAAAAATGTAGCGATATAGGCATGTTTTTGTCCGTTTTGCGTGTTACGCCACGAAGAATGTAGTGCCACATTATAAAATACTCCCACGGCACGTTTCTTGGTTCTTTTTTACCCACGCCGAATAGGGGCTTTGTCGGTGGTACGCGGCCATAGTAAAAAACAGTAAAGTGGTATGCGGTCAGTAAAAGGTTGAGAACCACTGGTCTACATCTATAGAAACGGGCAGCCAAATAGTCCGCAATTGATGAATTGTACATTAGAAATGTCATCAAAGCCCATAAGGTATTCTTTCATGCTAAGATCAAAATCTAAGTTTTCTGTCTTAAATACAATCCAGACCAAAATTTCCTGGTTACTGAAAAATAATACAGTAAATGTAAAAGGGTTTCAATATGTAATTCAAATTATTCCCACAGGTTTGTTCCCACATCCATATAATACAAAATTTAGAAATATAGCTTTATAAACAAGTTAAATTTGAAAAGACTCAGCTTAGTTTCATTAGTTCATGAATTTAAGAAATATTTATTCCACTATACACATGATATATATATATATTAAAAGAATCTTGCCAAAGAAAAGTATACATGTCTGGGCGGGGGGTAAATTTTTTCATTCTCATTATTTTATGAGAATTTAGTATGAGTAGTTTTGAATGGTTGTTAAAAGAAATGCATTAAAATCAAAATAACATAACTCAACATAGGTTTGAAAATTCTTGTTCTATTCCTTAGTTATAATCATTGGTCATTAACTATGCTTTTACTAGAAATTAAGGGTTTCAATTCAGAAATGCCATGCTCTCTCCAAATTCAAATATAAAAAGGTTTTCTACAATATTGTACCATATGGACTGATTAACTCGATGTACAAAATGAATTACCTTTTAACAAGGATGTGACTTCTATAAATTATCATTTTCATTAGGCTTCCACTTGCTTGCAAACTTTAATGTCATCTAATAAAAAACCCGAACACTTTTTTCTGTTTCATAGTAAAACCATGAACATCAATCATGTCAGTCACACATCGAACATTTTTGAACTAATTAATATATATTTACTTTTTCACATTATCATTTTCATGATAAACTCGTTTGTGATCAAACATTGTTGGAAATTTTGTTCTACTCCGATATTTTCCAAAAGTTTGTACATTTGGCGACATATTACATAACCTTACTACTTCGTCTTGGCTTTCGTGTCCATATGTTTGAACATCGCTCTCTTGTTATCACACACGAAGTTCAGCCTACTAGGCCACGTGCGGTAACAATCCACGTTTCTGTAATTATGGGTTCTTGAATAATATATATTTACTTTGTGGACCTATGAATCGTTTTGTAATTATGTTGTTGTTGTATGTTTCAATCTTAATTTCCTTGTAAGTATATTCTTCTACGAAATAAATGAGCTTTCTCTCTTACTACTTTTACCAATCGCTTGGAAACTTTCAACTAACTGATTGAAAATTATTATTCTCACTGGAAGGCTATAACTTTTATTTGTCTCTAAATTTTCTATTATCCCTATATCGATTGGGTTTCTACGAGACTAACTACTTCTCTGTCGGCCATGCACGTCTCCCTTTACGCCGGCGGATCCGTATGTATATATATAATACAATGATGTCGTAGCAAGAGTAATATTAACTACCTTAAGTGATTCAAGAGTCTTGCTGCATATTGACACAAATATGTTAAACTGGTCAGACGAAACGTTACAGAAGTACAATCGTGTTGGTGTGCAGCAAGACTCTCGAATCACGTAGGATTTCAACGAGATTTGATATTTCAACCAAAAAATTCGCTGTTCAATTTTATTTGGTAACACGGAACACGGTTTTTATTCCGACAAGCGTGACTGCTGCTTTCCATTTTGATTTTGCGAACTCGTGCTGCGCGTTGTATTCGTAGATTTTTCGGTAACGCACTGTGGACTTCGGTACGTTACTCCGTGTCCATACATTTGATCATTGCTCTCTTGTTTTTATTTTTATAATTAGAGTAAATTTATTTCAAATAATTTATTATTAAAAATGGGCCGAATTTTAAAGCTGCATTAGCGGTCAACAAAATATATATTTTTTCTCAAACTGTTTTACTAGACAAGCATGAACCTAAATGGATATCAATTGTATCATGCTTATTTCCGTAGGCCCAATTGAAGATTTTTTGAAGGTGTTTGGATTCACAACATTGCGGAGATTTGTCACCGGGCGCAGTTTTCTCAGAACTGAACTATTCAATTTTTTTACTACAAAAAATACACGGTTTTTGCAATGGTCCGTTGAACGTCGAAATAACAAAGAAACAAACAGAAAAAGCTGTGTCTAAAAAATATTTTAACAAATTTTAATCCCAAAACGTTCCAATACACTACTACAATGTAAATGGACCTATTCCCTAAAAAACGATTCTTCCAAAATTGATAATACCAATGTCATTGGAATTTATAAACATATTAAACAATGTAATGTCTTTGCGTTTTCAAGATTTGTATTTATATTTGGCAAACAACTCCGTTTTGGTAACCCGTTGGTGCATCGTTTACCATTCCATAAAATCTGGGCGACGAAAACAGATACACTTGAGTTTTGTCCTCGCCCTTGGATGGTGCGTTATATCCCCACGATTTAAACACATCAGGATCGGGATAGATGATTTGTCCGCTCTAAAACATTTTGAATATTAAAATATATTGTGGTGTCACATGGTATAGATCAAAGGTTTGAGAATGTTAATATTTCTACATGAAATCGTAGTCCAGAAAAATATATGGTTATTCAAAACATTTGGCTTTATAGGAAAAAAATGGATTTATGTCAGATTTTACAAATGCCGGCTTACTCTCATGCCCTCAGTTCAAATTTTTTTCGACAGGCATCTTTTTTGTCGAAGGCGGTAAAAGTCTTTATGAAAAAGAATCGTGATTCTCACTCTGGGATCAACCCTGATTCCAAGCCATGCATCCACATATCCTGCCTGTACGTTCGGTATTCTTTTGTTCAGACTGTCACGAACGGCATTGTAAACAGATCGGTCAGGTATGATAGCTACAGTTGAGTTCTTGCTTTTACATAATTTCTCTGCTGCGGAGTATGTTAGGGTGTTTGAATAGGTAGCATATGTCCAGTAGCATGCATCATCTCGACGTACTTCACACAGTTCTAAAAAAAAACATTCAGTGTATTTTCGACTTGGAATTCTTTGAAACTTATTTTGACTGAATCAACAAAAATATACTGATTATTATAAAGACACTTCAGACTTGTCGAGATAGGCTATGTCATAGTGTCGAAGGAAAATTCATGAAAACGGTGATTTTCCTAATTCTCCTAAAATACTGAAATAGCATTTACAGCCGAAAAGATAATTTTGGTATTTATGGTGGATATTTTGTTATCCATGATGCAGCAAAAGACAATATCTTTGGTTAAGAAAGAAACCATTTCAATAGCTCAAATTGAAATAAGACATACAATCAATAGGTCAGCACTTTTCATAAAAAAAACTATGATTCATCATTGATTAACACTTTTCACTAGGAAAATGAACGGTCAAAATAATGTTGTATCTAAACGCTACCATCAGGAAATTTATCTGTTCGGACTGGACAATCTTGTGTTTTGTTGAAAAGGATAACTTCTCCCAATTTCTCTTTCATCGCTGTTGTCGAATTTTTAAACTGGTGTTTCAATATCTGTCCTTGATCCTCAAATCGATGTCGCATTTCAACGTGCCATTCCTTCATAACTGAACAAAGTATCGTAATGTATTTCAAGGGAAAACGATCTAAACTATTTCACGCCGGAATAACATACGTTTGCAGCTCAAACAAATTTCTATTACTTGATTCCAGAGTTTATTTTACTACTATTCATTTTACTCAGTCCAGTGGTGACCGTCAAAGTCCAAAATTTGACTATACACGAAAATACATAAAATATTTATCACACATGTAATAGGGTTTAAACATATACAGCAGAACATTTATTGGTAACGTTTATAAGCAAACCAATGAAATACCTTGATTAATATGTCTGCTAACAATTTCATCAATTCTGTCGTAGTTGAGAGAAACTTGAACTTCGTCGCTCAATGTTGAGTCCGGCACTTCGAAGCAAATACGCTGTTTACAGTCACCGCTTCGTAATATCAGTAATATAATCATAGGTAGGAGTAGGACAACGTAAGATTTCACGGGTGAATGCATATTTTAATTTAGTTCAAGATTATTGAAAAGGTATAGCAAGCTCTAATCTAAATGTGCAACAATAATCTGAAACTTTGAGATGCATTATTTTATTGCTCAATTGTTGCCTAATTTTATCTTATTGTTGGATTAGCCATTAGCGGAAGAAGCCTCTTTCTGTTCCTCTGCTGAATGTTTCTCATTTTTCCAACCATCGTAGTACCGTAGAAATATTCGATATGACGGCGGCATATCTTGATAAGAATTACTGAATTAACTGTGAATACAGTCCCCAATATCTAGTCCTGCAATGAGGTTATTAGCAGTTTAGCAACTTATCAAGCATACAATCAAGAAATTGTCAAATGTGATGTATCTTCAATGTCACAAACGCTTATAAATGCTACTCGTTATTCACGCATTGAAAAGCGCTAAGTCTGCTCTACAGCTTTGCGAATGAACTGCCCAAAAATAGGGTCATGAAGCAATTGCTATGGTTTCCGATTTCAAATATTTGGCCGATAATATCGTCATTTACTGTAATCCGATATTCGGAAAAATTTACAGAAAGGGTTTGATCTCTAGTGGAAATACCCCTTGAGCACTTTAATATATTTTACAAAATCACTTACTTTATTCCATGTGACTTTAAACCTCTCCATTTCAATATTATTCGGTATCTAATTACATCAAATTCTGCCAATATAAACAAATCATTTGAAATCGGAAACTATTACGCGGTCTCCGCGACCCTTGGGTGAGGTAATTTTTGAGACAAACTTGTTAGCAAGCCGCAAGCGTTTCAATATGGAAACAAAAATTATTATTACTGTGATTATAAGGTATCTATTTAATATATCCAATGTACAACACATTACGATACATTACATTTGATCACATTAAGCCGTCAGCTATAGCTTGATTGTTCGATCTTCAAACCTATATGATAAGTGAAGACATTGAATCGTGGCTGAAGTGGTAAATGCTCCATCATTCTTGTGGTCTAATGGCTCTTTAATATAATTTCAAATAATTACCTCTACCGATATTTTCTGAATAATTTGCCTATACGACAACTGGCCATAAATAACAGTAGTTCCGAAGCTAAATTCCCGGTCTTTTTCATTAGATATTAGAACCTTGGCTGTCGCTGCTCGATAACCATCTTTGGTTTTTCGCGGATTTCCTTACTTACGCATTAAAATTGTGTGATCATCTTTTATCTTCGTATTTTGTGTGAGCTCGATTTTTTTACCGGTTGGAAAAAATAAACTGGATGTGACTTGACTTAGAGGAGGAAAAATGCTACGCTTCAGTTATTGTCCCACTATTAATTTTCTGATAAGTTCACTTTGGTTTTGTCCGCTCTGACTCCCGAGTAAGAGTTGCAAAAAAACGACTTCGACCCTGGCCTCACGAGAAATTTAAATTTTTGTAACAAATAATTTGGCATATGAAAGCCTTTGATTATAGTTAGGCTTTTTTGATAGAATTTGATTATAATTAACTTTTAAATTTTGACTCCAATTTATCATCATGAAAATCTGTCAAACATCGACTCGCGACTCAGACTCCGCAGCCTCGGGTCTTCCATAAAACATTTTACCAGTGAACGTTATCATGCGTCCTAGACCTAGACGATCACGGCCAACGTATCGACTAGCCAGAAATATTTTTATGTCGAAGGCTTTTTACACGATATTTCAGTTTTGTATTCCGGAAGTCTTGCAAACTAACATTTTAGGTCTCAACTGGGAATGCTTCAGTTTTAACGTTAAGCTTGCACGTTAACATTATACCTTTACAGCAGGGGCGTGCAACTGTTTACCACAATTTAGGCCCGAACCGTCAAACAACTTATTAATTTTTAGCAATTCGAAGTTGAGCTTGTAAGATAGTAGTAATAGTTTAATATTTGCTTCATTGAACTCTGGATCATTAAACTGCAGTTTGTGAATCTGTCCTGCATTTTGATGGTTTTGTGAAATATTCTTGGTTAGTTTTCTGTATCTCATTGCATCTTACTTGTAGTCTTATTTGGATGAAATACCGTTGGTATTATATTTATTGCCACAATTAATTCTGTGGGGTTAAGTACTGTTGCTGTAGTGCTCTATCTTTATCTCGACACTATTTATCTCTATCTGTATTCGTCATTTGTTTCCGTAATCCATTTGGCTCCATCTGACATCTCGGTTGTATATTTTGTGCTGAGCAAGTGTTTTATAATTTCATGACACTTTACAATTCTCCTGTGTTTAGAGTTGCGTATTGTGGGCTTGTGGACTTCAGCTTGCTTATCTCAGTTATAAGACGGGAATAATTTGGAGAGGATTATCTGGACCAAACATAGACAAATATTGCTGTAGTGGGATCGAGCGTTTAGACTGGAAAATATTGGCGCACGGTTCAGCGCTCTTCGTCTTTGTGTAGCAAGCAGGGTGCATGAGGTCACACCCCGTCAAGCTTCTACACTTATCATGATATTGACTACCTACATTCCTACAATGTCCAAACATGTGAAAATCGATCGGATTATTCTGGCATTTGAACTTTTGTATATTCAACCTCATTAATTCTTTTTAACTTTTTTGTCTACAATTTGCGCTCGATTTATTATTATTTTTTCTCCTCTAATGGGTGAACGCATTTAATACCGTGTTTCCCCGAAAATAAGACTGAGTATTATTTCAATTTTCTTCCGGAAAATAACACTAGGGCTTATTTTCAGGGGTGTCTTATATTTTCATTTATTGAAAACAAAATTACAAAGTAGAGAAATACGAGATTTTTAAATCTACAAAATATAAAATCGATATCCATTTATTTATAAGTAACATGTTTTTATTCAAAATAGATGCAAAACATAGATTATCAATCATCTCATATGTGTAGGAGGGATTTCTTGCTATCGACTAGGTAATAAAAAAAAATCCACGTTATTGACTAGATCTTATTTTCAAGGTAGGTCTTATTTTCGTGGAAACAAGTACGTATTGAAATTATATTTGGTTTTACTATCCGGGTAACGGATACATCCGGGTATTATGTGTTTAATTATCCGGTTAACCAGTTAGTAACTGTTAATTTTAGAAAACCCATTTCACAAGAGTTTTGCTGTGAATTGACCGTAAACCACCACACAGTTCTATAGTAAAGTATTTTGTGTCCTGTATTATTTCGTGATTTCTTGCACGACGAAATAAACTTTGTACATGTATACTGTAATAGTAATAGGGATACATATATATAAATGAAATCATGAACGCACAAAATCCTGCCTGTTGATCATTTTATTTCGGTTAGAAGTACCCAGAAAAAAATATGATACAGGGGGGACAAAGTCCATGAATTTTTAATAACAAAGAAAAATGATGATTTTGAAAGACAAACGAACTAGTCAGAAATTTCTTCTAATTTGAAAAATTCACTTATTCAACATGTCACTGTAAGTATTCTCGCGTTTGTACTAATTAGGCACCAACGTAAAATCTATTTTCATTCGAATACCTTTCAAACTAAATTAACAGAGCCAAAACAAATGCTGCACCAGTTTTTTGAACAACTTTACCCTAGGTGAGTAAATGAAAAACATGACACGATACAAAGTCTGTCAAATTAAACTTTTCTGAAATAATATAGAATAGACTATCCTGCAAACAAAAAACCACAAATGTAATACCAGCCCTTCTTTTTGAGATTTTCGACAAATACACTATAAAGGCGGTCGAATTTTATAGGCTAATTTTGTTAGCATCGCCGATTGTTTTCTTCCGCGTCGCGTTATTATTTGGGGTATTAAAATCGACATTATGCCAGTTTTAATTTGATAAGAAGTTACATTTCGTGAAAAGTTACCCTTGTTGCAAATTCAGTAAATACGATTATTATGAAATCCAAAAATATCGTTTTGTTTTATCTATCACTGGCTCATTAATCAAGAGTCGTGGTATTTTTGTTAGCATTTACTGCCTTATTTTCAGTCAAAAATGTGTGTTTCAGATTTACTCTTTTAACGATAGATGGATACGACGATAGATAACATACCACGGCGATTATAGTTCCGGGCGAAATAAAAACAATTATCGGCGTTATATACCGACGATACCGCATCCGACTTTTCTCCCGAATATGTTGATATATTAATATCTGCATTTATTGTACTAAATAAATTATACTCATCGGAATTGCAATAATAGCTCAAATTCACAAGATCGCAAAAATAAAACTGGATTTATTCGTGCAGCTCACCACGTATTTTCATATCTAGAGTAGAAGTGCTTTTATTCTAACGTAAGTCGATACAATTGCGAGATCCGTTGAACACAGTTATTATGGAACGACATTTTCAAATGCTGGAATCGGCCACATACCGAATATTTTGCGCAGTAGAAAAATCAATATATATCAACTGAAAAAGTAGGCGGTTTTATCAGCGAGTGTCATGATCGCAGCGACTGCTTCACAAATCGTCGTGAAGTATTTATTATATATATAAGTATATTTTACATATTTGTTTAACTACGAGACGCAACAGAAAAAATCGAGCGGCAGCCGTCTCAAGTTTTGAACACTCCAAAAGATCAACCCCTTCGAACAATGCATCAATAGTGGAATCATGTAAACGAGACCGAAGTTTTGTGACAAATAGCCCAGATGCTCTTTCTGTTCCACGGAGGTAGGTTGGATAGTGAGCTGAGCTGCATATAAAGCTTGAAGATCAGCGGGCCGCCGTGCTGACGCTTCAAAGACTTCAAATCCTTTTTGAATTGTTATTCTGTTTAGATCTGCAGTATTGGTGGGTCGATTTGCTGGATTAGATGCTGACTACATAGCTCGCTCTAGTTCTTGCTTGAGAGATACACATGTCGTTTCTTCACGTTATACAGTCGAAACTAATGATACCAAGTTGTTGTCAGACTCTTCTCCAAGCAACTTTTGCATCAGGGTCCCAGCTAGTGGTGGAATTCAAATTTTTTGTCAGCCGATTCCATCATACAAATGTCATATTTTCATGCGGTTCTGTTACAAAAAGTCATGTAATGCTAACCGGTTCGCTGATCTCATAAAATTCCGTGAGACGGTTCTATAGAACCGGTGCGAACCGGCTGAATCCCACTACTGGTACCAGCCACAGCACACATCTTGTTTTTATTTCGAAGTTGGCCAAGTTTATTTTCAGTCATAAAACTCGAATCGTGTAAGTATTCGAGCAGATGGATAAGACATGTGTTCCTCCTTTCTTTGATTCTTACCACAAGAAAGGA